CAAACATATATCTGACGTTTCATTTTTTATTCATCTTTTTGGGCTCGAAAAGAATAAAATTTTCTGTTTAATTCTAGCTTTTTTCTAATCTCGATTATCTGTGGCCTCAGCATGTGTTTTCAGATCTGTGTGAAGGTATCTCACTCCACTAGATGGCTCCAAAATGAACAAGGCTTATATCTATGAAGAGCTATTCCACACTGTAGTTAGATGATGAACTACATCAATATAAACATATCAATTCTTACTATACTTCTGCAGCTAACATTATTCCCCTCACTCATGCACTAACACACAGAAAATATGCATTAAATTGCAGCTTATACATTTTTCAGCAATTTTATAAACTCTTCACCCTCCCAATTTCCCTACTCCTGCCCTCACCTGAAACTCATCAAAGCATAGGAGACAGGTTTCCTCTGCGATCTCCATGGCAACCGGAAAGATGGGGTCATACATTGTCATTTTACCTATCCGTCGCTTTGGCAGGCTCCGTTTCAGTTTGTGGATCCCTGAATGCAATGCACAAATTAAAGTCAATAGAAATAAATGCAAATGCGCTCAGAACCTAGACAATATCAAATTTTGAACTCAGAGGAATCTATTCTACTTTGTGCTGTTATTTTCCTTAATTGCTATTCATGCATGATAAAAGGCATGTTTGTTTGCTACTTGTACAAATACAAAATAGTACTACTTTAAATTGATTAATATGGAATGAGGTAAATATACACAACTGTTCAAAAGTTTCATTAATAACACTTATTTAGCAAAGACACATTAAGTTGATCACGTTAAAGACATTTATATATATTCATATCTAAATTCAGCTTTGCTATCACAGGAATAAATTACATTTTAGCATATATTGAAAAACTGTTTCAATTGTAATAATATTTTAAAATATTACTCATTTTACATATGGCATATGGCCATTTATGTATCCACAATTACTCGAGAACAGACCACCTTGGTTTAGTTAGAACTTACTTCTATGTACGTCTAACATGAATGCATTGAAATGAACCCTCCTTTTTCTTCTGTTTTCCACAAATGAGTAAAAAAGATCCATCAACATTGTTTTTCCAGTGCCTATTGATTATGAAACAAAACACAGAATAAGCATTAATTGGCCTCTCCATGTAAAGTCCAGTCCAATCCCTCCAAACATTAGTCATTTTAAAACATTAGTCATTTTAAACTTTAAATGCATGTTTAAAATGACTAATAATTTTGCTGCCATAGCTAAAAAAAAAAATTTACTTAAGCTTACCAACATCACCATGGATATAGTAGCCGTAGGGAGGATGTGGCTTTGGGGACACCTGTAAAATAAATTCAAATATTACCATCTTCTTTAACGCTGTAATAAGCTGGTTTGCTTCAGCTCATTTTAGCCTATACATAGCTTATATCATAAAGACATCTTATGGTTTGATTTTGTCACCAATTGTAACAAAAAGAAATATCCAGGAAACTCTTGGCATGCGATTAAGTGCCCTTGACTCAAAGTTTCCAAACAATGTCCACAACGCATTCAACTTTCAGAGTACAAGGTGTTTGATGAGCCAGTCCAGAACTGTCTGTGGCTGCAGACAATTGATCATTCAGGACAAGACAGAGAGTCGACATCCTTATGCCCGTATTTTTTTTTCAGTGGGGTGAATGCTGTTTGAGCAGTGAGGCGCAGCGTTCTTGGATGACAGCGTGTGACTTCTCACTGACTTCCAGAACTCTCTGTAGCTCGTTATTGTGGCTGGTGGCAGTGGTCCAGTCACGGTAGAGTGGACAAACACAGTGAAGAGACTGAGAGAGAGCGGACACAGGCCCTGTCAGGGACGGGTCCACAAGGTGGAGTCATGCTCTACACTTTCACAGGACGCAGCCAAGGGGAAAAAGTTCACATGCCAACACTCTTAGGCTCCGTTTTCCACTCTCTTTCACAAATGAACTGTTGTTTGCCTTGGTAATGATTTAGATAAACAATGACTTTTATTCATTTTGTGGAAATAATAACTATGCTTAATATAATAAGTGATTTACTTTTAAATCAAAAGAATGCATTTATTAATTTACTCACCCTACGCACAAAGTGTTTCGCCCTTTTTGCCCTAAATAATCAACACAAGAGCACATCGCTGTACATGTTTATATTTATTTCCCCATATTAAAAGTGGAGCTGGGAATCTCTTTCCCAGACAATGGCGACCCCTCATTACTGAGGCGAGGGATAGGTGGGGTGTCCTGACTCAGTAGGGGGCCGTGTTGTGATCCAGCAAGTGCTTGGTCTGGTCTTTCCTCCCACTCTCCACCCCCACAAACACAAACAGGCTGAAGCTGCTTTGACCTACAAACAACAGTCCCACAGCAAATTAGGCAATGGCACAGTGCAAGCACTGGGGTCTGACTGAAGGTTGGACTGCTAAGCTTTTTCTTCACTGTAAACATTCACAGATTGCACTGCTCAGTTTGGCACATATAAACCCATACCTCTTGTGTGTTGTCAACATCTGACATCTTTTCTTCAGGACTGCAAAGGTTTACTTTACTTGTATTATTCTTCAGTTCTGAGGTGGGATGACTATGTAAACAGTCTTTAGGTTGAGGGAGAAGGATCGGGATGTTGGTATAGTCTGTCATCACTCTGTTTAACTGTTCTAACAGAAGAAGTGCAGCTCTTTGTTGATCATCCTCTTGCAGTGAACCGGAGCAGACAAGACTGTCATAGTGGCTGATGAGTCCTCCATGAGCAGCCCAAGGTGCTGATATAGATGTATGTCCTGCAAAAAATGATGAATATCATTAAGAAACAAGAATATGTTGTTAAACACATATTTGGGATCTATTTATTAAATAATTTTTACAGTGCTTTATATCACATAATACTTGATAATTCCTTAATATTTCACAATAAAGACACAATAATTGATGAATGAAGAATAGTAGATCCACTAAACATCTATTTCATGTGACATAACTTTTTTTCTTGATTATGAACAAATGTATATGTAAGAGATTCATTTTAACATGAGTAAATAATGACAATTTACATTTTTGGGTCAACTGTATGTTTTATGCAAAACACACAAGTGAACATATCTTGTAATAAAATATGGCCATACTATAAATGACAATAAATAAACAATAAATGCTTAAAAATAAACATACTGCCTACTGCATGAACAGCTGTAAAAGATTGTTCAATATGAGACATTTAAACTTAAAAGAATTAAAAGTTGGGAAAGATTCAAGAAATGTGTTCCTATAAAATACTTATACAGCACAATAAAAAGTTAATATTTTTGACAGCTTGGTTGCTAGTTTAAACATAATAATAATAATAATTCTCTCTCTTATATATATAATTATCATTTTTTTGAAAGTTTTACAATTTATTAAGGCTATTGTTGTTGAAACAGCACTGAATTGAACAGCACTGCATTGAAATACAATAACAAAGGGAAAAAAACAATAACACCTCAATCGGTAAGAAAAATATCATCATAAGCCTTAAGAAACCTGTAATTCTTATTGTTGTCAATGAGTTTAAGAGATTTAACAATAAGCAAAATCTCAGCAAGACAGACATCAAATCTAGGAAACATCTTGAGAAATTTGTTTTTGTGAATACAATTTTTTTACAATGCAACACACAAAAAAAAAAAATTAACAACAAGATCAATAGCATGGTCACTGGCAGAAATTTAACTTTCAGCGAAAATTAAAAGAAGATAAATAACAACTTAAATTCTCCCAAAGAGATTTAACTTGGTTACACATAAGATAGAATACACATAAGATAGACATTATGAGAAATCTTAAAATGTACCTCTCTTATTTTATTAGAAATGCAAAATTTCCGATGAATACTATCAAAAAAATTGGTCCAGAAAAATTTACATCTAGTATATACTGAATAATGTAACAATCGCTTCACATTTTTTTTTTTTATCAAGAAGACAAACTCCATCCAATAAAAGTTTGGGCATAATTGTTTTTCTCTCATTAAAGCAAAGGTATGCTTTAAATAAATGCACATATCTTGGAGACAAACGTTTGATGACAGAATTTAAAGATCTAGCTGGCAGAGGAAGACTATACAAAGTCATAAATTCTTCATACTCCAGTATAGTAGCTACCATCATTTTTCAGTAAATAAATGTGTGTGTGTGATAAAGATGAATATAAAGCACTATGACGTAAATGATTTCCCGCAGTAGTCACGTGCTATCAGCACTGACCATGACAGGAGAATATTCATGCTCACCTCTAACGGCCTTAAAGAGTTCACACCAAACTCCTCTCGACAAACTTGTCTCTTTGAATGTAAGTCTTAAAAGACATCTCGTTGTCCACCGCAACCTGTATGCCGCCATGTTGATTCAAAACCTAATAACTTTATTGAGCTCTGTACACTGACACTTTATATCCCTTTATGGAGAACAGACACTGCTCTGCATGTTGCTCTTTCACGTTTATGTCACAAACACGTTGCAATACATAAGAAATTAGTTTTTATAAATATAAACGGAGGCTAAATCAAAATCTTAGCTTATTCGATAATAAATGCGAGATATTATTCTGTAGGCGGTTCTAAACAATAATTGAGAAACTGTATCATTTTTAACAATACAGATTTACAAACAGTGCACTGTTCTTGCTTTGACAGAACTTATCTAATTACATTGCAGAATGCAGTTGGAGGAATGCAAGAATGGAGCTTGAATAAATGACAAATGTTACTCTACAAAAGGTTCGGAATTTACAACCTATAAAAGTTTAACATTACAGATGTCCACCAAAAACTGCACTTGCTTTGCTAACATTTATCCAGCCGCTCAGAATAGTGGCACGTGACTGCATAAACGCTAGTTATTACTCTACAGACGATTATAGATAGTCATTTATAACCTACAACATTTTCGACTTCACATACACTAAAAAGTACACTCTACTCGCTATGACAGCTTTTATCCAATCAAAGCCCAAGGATATTACCACGTGACCGTATTGGTATGTCACATGTCAGCTGTTCCTCAGCTGATCGGAAGTGCAATCGATAGCTGCTTGTTTGCTCAAACCTGTTACGGAAAGCCATGGCTGAGGCCATAGCAGACACGAGAAGGCTGTATACTAAACCACAAAACCTGAGCGATGCGTATGGGCCACCGAGTAACTTTCTAGAGATTGATGTTTCCAACCCCGAGACGGTTGGCGTCGGTCGGAACAGGTTCACGACATATGAGATCAGACTGAAGGTGAGCAGCCAGTGCTGGCCTGAGTAAAGCCATTCTGTAATCAGCGGTAAATCTCCATCACGTGCAGGCTTTCACATGGATGAGAATTAAATATCGCATGCGATTTATCGTGCAGCCCTAGTGTAGAGTAGCGCTTGTTGTTTGTCATTTCTCCGATCACAAATGCAGACATGGTTTTAGGTTTACACGGCGCGATGCAACGCGTAAAAAGACAGTATAAGTAATTATAATATCGTGCGATATTTATCGTGCAGCCCTACTCTACACTGCTCAAAACTCGCGTTTGAACCTCTTTTGGAAGGCCAAACAAAGTAGTTTTGCTTTCACAACAAAACACACGGCGTCACACACGGCAGGCTTGAGTGAGTGGCGGCAGGCTAGAGTGAGCAGAGGCCGGCGGATTCGACGATCGTGACGTAGACATGTGTGGGCGTGTTAGAACGAGCCGTTTTAGGTAGGCGTGGTTGACTCTTAACTTTTATAAAGAATATCTCTTTGGATTTGAGACTTTAGTCTTTGCAACTTTACAGATCTTCTTTATGCACCAAGAGCTTGTAACACTTCAAAGAGAAAGGAAAAATTGAAATCTCATCATATGACCCCTTTAAGCCTGACTGTGTAATGATCAACTAAGTATGTTGTGCAGTCAAGAACACAGTTTAGTTGGTATGTGTCCAATTGGGATGAGAGAGTTTTGAGACGAGACTTTCAAGCAATTTCCATTTAGATCTCAAGCATGTAGTCTGTGTGACCACACCCCTTTGTGTAAGCCCAAGATAATGGTGCTTGTAATGATAATGATGAAACTGGTTAACGTTAAAGTACTGTGCACATCTTCTTTATCAAATGAGACCTTTCAGTTTGCTAGTTAAAATGCTTTATTTTAATTTTAATTTATTTTCCTCATTCTTGTCCCAAGTTAAGCAGAATTGATTTTACGCATGTTTCAGTAAGTTGTCTTATGATCAAATTCTTCTGAACTCGCTGTGTAGATTATGGTTATTGCATCAGTGAATTTCCCACACTTGCACACATTATTCCTAAGACATGAGTCAGTTTACCCATATTTGTGCTGACAAAATGCGTACCTTCATGATTTGTTGGCCAAATTATTCTGAATGTTAGAGGACGTTTTTAAACGGTGAGACACACATGGCTGCCATCTGCTTTGCATATGCGTGTTTGTGCGCTGTTATGCATGGAATTGACCTTACAACTGATAAAATGACTGACAGGCCAAATAACATGCAAACCTCCCAAATTCCCATGGTAAAAACGGGGAAGTTATGGTACATGTAAATTAGGATTAGGTATCCAAGGACAGCTAAACTTGCAAATGATGAACGTTCATTTACCCCTCAGTGAAAATGAAATGAATGCAAAGACTACATACATGTGACCAAAGTTAACTTTATTAACCTTGTAAAGCCTGACATATTAAAATAATCCAAATATATATATACATGTATATATTTTGAAATGGAAGAGTTTATTTGTATGATAGTAGATCATGTACTAATAAAAGAGAAGATGAAGCTCATACTCAAAAATGCTTCCTTTTTTTTTTTTCAGATGCCCAAACTGAGCAATGATGCAGTTTAATGCAGTTGCTGATATTAATATGGCTAATTAAGATGAAATTCTGATAGCGTATAATGTCAATCAATGAGATCGCTATTAATGCTATAGCAAACTACTTACAAACTTCTAGCGTTATTTTTAGTGTTTCAATGGTATATATAATTCGCTTTCTATTTTTTCAGTTTTCTAAAGTGTTTTTGAAAAATCACTTACTCTGCCTTTAATAAGTGCAGTTACTAATAATTTTACATGTTCATTTCTTGTTTATACACATTTGACAGAAAAGCACTGAGCTTGAGTTGGGAAGCTTACAAAATGTATTTTATTAACAACAGTAGTGTGCAAAATCAAATTTTTATGTAGAAAAGATATATAGTGTACTCTTATTAAATGTACCATTATTATTCTGTAGTCTAATATTAAACTGACCAACAACTTCAGTGATTATGTGTGATTTAGTCGCAAATTGAAGAAAAGTTTGTTTTTCAAAGCACTCTGTGATGTTTATAATAAATAGACTTAACTCATAGAGATTACAATGTGCAGTATTCTTTTAATTTCAAAGAGATATGACAAATATATATGATATGATAAAATTACTATTGAAAGTATAAATGAATGACTAATAAGCCAATAAGTGCTCCTCTGCTGCCATCTACAGTGGTAATTTGATGTATTTTTTAAATTTTACATAAGTGTTTGTTTACCACAGTATATTTTGGTCGTCCCATTGAAAATAACATTCAAATTGGATCATTTAGGAGCTTTAAAGTGCTGGAAACAGTTGTGTGAAATGCTTGTAGTCATTTGTACAAACCCTGAAATGAATAATGTAATAACATTCGACTATTTCTGCCACAACACCATGGTTACAGTTAGCGTTACTGCTTCTGGTTTTCTATGTTAGCACTGTTTGATCTGTTTATAACAGAGAATTCTGTGCAGAATTTGAATGCTTCTCAGATTCTCGCAGCAACCTTTTATTCATTCTGCGGCGAATTCAAATATTTCTCACTGGATCTCGCAGCGCTGTGCAGTAATAGTGTTGCGAAATCAACTTTGGTTCACGAGTAGCTGTTCTGAGCTTAGACTAGTTTGTTTGTGTCGTGGTTAGGCATGGGCTGGTATGAGACTTTGACGGTATGATAACCTTAAGCAAAAATATCACGGTTTCACGTATATAATTTCATATACATAATTTGATTTAATAATAACCCAATTTGAAGCAAAAACAGAATGTTCTGTTCTGACTAGCTTTGTGAAATTACTCTACATGCCTGAACATGCTCTGAATGAGATGCAGATTCACTCTCTGACAGCAGGAGGCGCTTCTGGACCACCAATTACAGCGTTTCCTTGGTTACCGCTGTAAACAAAGCAGGGCTGTGCTGAAACACTGCTTTAATATGAATTATACAGAGACTAGATGAAAAGAAAATACCACGTAAACTTTTCTGAAGACGTTCAGTTCCCCTCAGAAACATATTCATATAAACCCCCAAATCAATATTGAGGATTTTCTTCCAATAGTTCGTGCATCATGAACAGTGAGTGATCTGCCTGCTACAGTATTTTTCTCTGTGCGTCCATCTTCAGCATCTCTGGCCCGTGTTAACGGGCGTTTACAGACTTCATATTTTCACATAAATTACATTTTGCAGTTTGTGCAAGTCCAGAACAGAGACAAGTTTGCTTGTCAACAAGCGGTTGCTGATCGCGTAATTTCCAGGGGCAGCTCCTTAAGTTCGGCCATCCTACACACACGTGACTGACCGTGCTCGCACCAACAGGAGGGGGAGGGTCGTGTTACTCTCTACACTGCACTCAACCTGAGGGATTCCTACACTTTCAGTCTAGGAGACATGAAAAACAGTGCATACCGCAGGAACGGTATAACAGAAAATATGAGTGGTTTTGAAACCGTGAAATTTTCAAATCGCGGTATACCTTGAAACCGGTAATCGGCCCATGCCTAGTCGCGGTCCTATGGGGTTAGATTTCTGCCACAATTCTGCGCGCGAAAGATATTTTGAGCGCACAAAAGTGCATTTTGCAAGTGAGCAATCTGAGTTTTGTGGAGAATGTTCGTCTCACAAAGAAGAAAGTATTTTGAGCGCACTAAAATCTATTTTGGATTTAAAATAAGCTTTTAGATCTGTGCAGACCTTCTCTTTTGCACGTGCAAAGTTTCACTAGCTTGCTCCAAGTTGATATTCTGATCATATTTTTTTCCAAGCACATTTTACCAATTCCAAACAACATAAATTTTAATAACTACTATTAAAGGTGGGGTAAGCGATTTTTCAAAAACGCTTTAGAAAACTGATTCGGGCCAAATAGCAAAACAAACTTGTAGCCAATCAGCTGTAAGGGGAGTGTGTACTCATGATGTGGAGGAGAGAAGTTCTATAGTATTTTGTCACGCCGTGCCACTTGCGTCCGGTGTAGACACGGTGTAACATTGGTTTTGCTTTGTTTCACAGAACTAATCGTTGCCTGGGTTGCGTACGTATGTGTGGGGCAGAGCTATCAAAATAGGGGCGAGACCCTTGTGTATTCGTTGTGTAATTCTTCCCTATAGTTTTAGAAGATTTCTAGAACTAAGAAAAAAAAAATTGTTGCAGCTCTCAGTTGTCTGCAATATTTGACTGGGACTCATATCTGTCCAGTCGCACTGTTGTTTTCGTTCATGTTCTACTGATGTATCCAACTGTATCAGGAGCTGGATAACTCTGTACTTCCATTGGTAGTCAACACATTGCATTACTGCTTATTTGCACGAAGTTGAGCTCATCTTTGAACTGATCGCAAATGGTCGATATTTCTCAAATTGCAGAAATCACCAGTTGCTGCAAATCATTGGTAGTCACCACATTGCATTACTGCTTATTTGCACGAAGTTGAGCTTAGTGCTGGGCGGTATGACCAAAAATTTATATCACGGTATTTTTCAAAATTATACCGGTTTCACGGTACAAGACGGTATTTTTTTTTCATGCATGACCGAGTGTTAACCATATTTTCTACTGATTGAGAGAGGAAATACTGCAGTATATTGACTTAGAATGCCCTATTTTACTGTCACGATGAGTGAATATTGTCAAAAAATACCACACTAAATAGTGACTAAACACGACCCCTTTTAATACATGTTAACCAGGAGTCACTCTCATTTATAATCGCGGCATCGTCTGATAAAATCAACATGCATCTACACTAAAGAGCAGCTATGCGGTTGTTTTGGCTATATTACTTTTTTGTCTCATGCAGCGCACTGCCTGCGTCTGAGTAACAAACTAAAAAAAAATAAATAAATAAAAGTGCATGTGATATTAACAGACGAACTATGCTCATATTTATAATTCCAAACAATCAGTAAGCAACAGGTGCTAGGAAACGCTGTTTTGTACTCATTTATT